TGTTGTGTGTTGTGTGTTGTGTGTTGTGTGTTGTGTGTTGTGTGTTGTGTGTTGTGTGTTGTGTGTTGTGTGTTGTGTGTTGTGTTGTGTGTTGTGTGTTTGTGTGTTGGTGTGTTGTGTGTTGTGTGTTGTGTGTTGTGTGTTGTGTGTTGTGTGTTGTGTGTTGTGTGTTGTGTTGCGTGTTGTGTGTTGTGTGTTGTGTGTTGTGTGTTGTGTGTTGTGTGTTGTGTGTTGTGTGTTGTGTGTTGTGTGTTGTGTGTTGTGTGTTGTGTGTTGTGTGTTGTGTGTTGTGTGTTGCGTGTTGCGTGTTGCGTGTTGCGTGTTGTGTGTTGTGTGTTGTGTGTTGTGTGTTGTGTGTTGTGTGTTGTGTGTTGTGTGTTGTGTGTTGTGTGTTGTGTGTTGCGTGTTGCGTGTTGCGTGTTGCGTGTTGCGTGTTGCGTGTTGCGTGTTGCGTGTTGCGTGTTGCGTGTTGCGTGTTGCGTGTTGCGTGTTGCGTGCTGCGTGCTGCGTGCTGCGTGCTGCGTGCTGCGTGCTGCGTGCTGCGTGCTGCGTGCTGCGTGCTGCGTGCTGCGTGCTGCTGCTGGTGGTGGTGGTGGTGGTGGTGGTGGTGTTGTTGTTGTTGTTGTTGTTGTTGTTGTTGTTGTTGTTGTTGTTGTTGTTGTTGTCGTTGTCGTTGTCGTTGTCGTTGTCGTTGTGGTTGTTGGTGGTGGTGGTGGTGGTGGTGGTGGTGGTGGTGTTGGTGTTGGTGTTGGTGTTGGTGTTGGTGTTGGTGTTGGTGTTGGTGTTGGTGTTGGGGTTGGTGTTGGTGTTGGTGTTGTTCTTGTTGGTGGTGGTGGTGGTGGTGGTGGTGGTTGTTGTTTGTTGTTTGTTGTTTGTTGTTTGTTGTTTGTTGTTTGTTGTTTGTTGTTTGTTGTTTGTTGTTTGTTGTTTGTTGTTTGTTGTTTGTTGTTTGCTGTTTGCTGTTTGTTGTTTGCTGTTGGCTGTTGGCTGTTGGCTGTTGGCTGTTGGCTGTTGTTTGTTGTTGGCTGTTGGCTGTTGGCTGTTGGCTGTTGTTAGTTGTGGTTGTGGTTGCGGTTGTTAGTTGTGGTTGTGGTTGTGGTTGTGGTTGTGGTTGTGGTTGTAGTTGTGGTTGTTGTCATTCTTCATCTCGGTGATTGCTGGCTTAAGTGTGATTTCGATGATTGCCAGGCGCAGAGCCAGAAGAAGGACAAGTACAGATTGCGCCAGATACCTATTTTCTCACCCAGTCACACCTTCCTTGAAGAGGCAAACGCAGGGGAAGCCCTTAAGCTGGAGACTTCAGCGTATTTGCAAGAGCGTAGTGGCCACAGATCCCGTAAACCTCTTTTCACTGAAGTAAAGCAAGGTCCCTGAAAGGATAAATTTGGGCTCGTCCAAAAGATCACATATGCCAGCTGAGTTAGAGGATCCCCTTGGAAAGCAGGTGGTTTTGGGACGCAGGCATCAAGCCGAAGCCTTTTTCAGAGGAGCTGCTCTGCAGCTCTGTGAGCTTGAGGTCACGAGCGAGAAAGGACGAAGGCAGAAAGATGGAGCGACGACTTCCAGAGGCCAAGCAGCATTGGAGCATTGTTTTTTTCCGGAGTGGAAGCTAAGCGGAGGGGAAGCTTCCAGTTCCATTCTTTCCAAGCCTCCTTTTCAGGAAACCACAAAACAGGGGAAACAGCTACTCTCTAGTTGGTCGTTTGGATTGGTGGTTTAGAGGTTAGGAAAGGGCTTCCCATTGACCCTCAACAAGAACCAGGGGTACCCAGAGCATTGAGCATGTTATCGGGGTCTTTAGTGCAGGACAGAAAAATATCTTGAGAACCACTGCTGCTTCAGCAGGCATTTGCGCAATCATCTCGTCCCGTTTCCACAGGGAGGCCACCAAGTCTCGCATGTCGTGCCAAGGATGCACTCCATGTTCATTACAGATGCGGACATCATGACGATGCGCAACAAGTTCACATCTGAGTCCGAAGCTCAAATGGGACTGCGAACACCCGCTTTGCCGCAAGACAATTAGGCAGATTCTGCTGCACCGGAGGTTCTTTTGCCGATTCAACATGGCATACTTGAACTATGAGGCGCGTGGACCCGGGCCTTCAATCCTTTGCCACAGCAGTGTTTTCCAGTGTGTTTGTTGCCGGATCTTAGCTCAGCGCCGCTTGGCAGATTTGCTCACAGAATGAGTTGCACATGTGCATTTCTTGGTTGTTCCTGTACTGCTTGGTTGTGACTCATACAGCGATTCTACCCAAGCTCCGCTGGCTATGTGCGGTGCCATTCGTGCTGATTCGACCTGCATGGCAGGCGGGAGAGTGGGGAGTGGCGAAGGACATGCTGGAGGCTGGTGGAAGTCGCGTTCACACGATGTCCCAAAACTCCATCAACCAGATATTGTCAGAAGAGACAACCAGTTGCTTCCCAACATGCCAAGATATGGGTATGAGTCAAAATTTAGCCACCAGACGGACCCCGCAGGTTTTAGTGGTTGGTTCTATTTGCCGTTTCATTTTGGGGTTAGCCTATTTTTGACCCAGCCATATGGTAAGTCATTCTGACGTATGGGTCCATTCGCGCAGGTGACACGCTTTCTCCTAGCCACAGAAGATGGACCTTCAGCAGCTCTGCTGAGGCGAAAAGTCTCGGATCTTCGTCGCTCGCTTTGCCGTTGTCTTCTGTGGTGTTTCCTCTTGGTATTTTTTCGGTTTCCAGTTCGCCATTTGGTGATTTTGTTTTGTTTTTTCCCGTGTTGGTTTTAGAGGGGATCTATCACTACTGGACATATATATATATATATATTTCCAGGGGGCTTGAGCAAATGGAGGCAGTTGCTCCCTGTGTTTGTCTTCTCTTGGTAATTATTCGTTGCTTGATGCTCTGTTATTCCTTTGGTTCAACCCTGTTCGTTTCCTCACCGCGGGTTCCACAAAGGCAAGCCACTGAAGAGACTATGCCACTGAGTATGTTCTCTTGGTGACCGGAGGTTGCTTTTGTAGACGATGTTCAAACGCCATTGTGATTGATTCGTGGAGGAGGTCTTGCTCAGTGTGCTCAAGGGTTTATGCAGGTCTTGCTCCAGTGTAGATCAATACATGGCTGTGGGTCAAAAATAAATACCCAAAATGGCACCCTGGTAAATGGAAACAGTGAGTAAAACCTGTGGTCCAATTCCTGGTGGTTTGACCCATACCCCGATCCCCGCGTGCCGTATGCAGGTACATGAAGCAGTATGATTGGGAAGCACCGAGCGGGTGGACCGGGTACTCACCTCAGCTTTTGGTGCCGCGAGATCGCGAGCACCGGGGTGGGTGCGAGAGGCGAGGTGGGTGCATTGGGGAAAAAAAAGCAAATCTCACCGCGAAATTGCCGACTGGGAGATGTCCTACTTTTACCCATCAGATGAGAGGTGCAAGAGGAGCAGGGATCGAGTTGTACTCGCAAGGGGCACTTCTTTGCAGGTACGTTGCATTACAGGTTGCGGAAGGAACAAGCCTTTGGAAGCAACAAACCGCCAATCTTCTGCCATGAAAAGCTATCGCAACATCGACCTGAGGTACCGAGTGCTCCACGACAAATGAAGCTGCGAACATCTTCACAGGCTGGCGAACAGCGCTTCCTGTGAAGCCTTCGGGCCTGCATCCAAACTTTTCGGTTGAATGATCTCCCAATAGGTTTCTAGTTTTTTGTTTGGACGATGGCCGGAACGTGTTATTCTAGAATCTGTGGACCAGCGACGATTTTGGCACCCTCCCTTCGTGAGCCATGGCTAGGTTGATTTGCCGATATTTGGAGAGCACATTGACTGCTTGGGTTGATGAAGGAGTGCCTGATTGTTTCACTCACATGCAGACAACCGCTGAGACGGTTGGGTCGGCCAGCCGCGCTGAAAGCGCAGCTTCCGCCTGAGCATATCAAGTTGAAAAAAGCCGTGCGGCTCAAAGCAGCGGCAAGACATTACCTTCATCCCCACCAACGCCCACCATCCTGTAGATGAAGGATAATTGATCTTAAAGAGATTTGCAGAGCGCTGAGAGCAGAGGTGAGCTGCGGTGAGCGAGATGCTTGTACCGGGAATTGGGCAATGCGCAGGTGGGTGCGGGACCGCGGGACCGCGCAGGAATCGTGCAGAGCTGGAAGATCTGTGCAAGAGGCGATTCTTCTTCCGGCAGGCCAGGAGGGGTTTCTGATCTTGGCGAGCGGCGATTCGCCGTGCAAGAAAAGGGGAGAAAGACGCTGGCGAGCCAGCTTTTGGCCCCGTACAAAACTTGCTGGTGCCAGTAGGGAAGGAGGGAATGATCCCCTACCAGCCATCCCTTGTGCTTTCCTTTAAGGGAATCCCCAGCTTCATTCCCTCATTCCCTACCTATCGCACCAGCAAGACAACTGTGCGTTTCATTTGTTTCCTGGTGTCTTCTGGCGGAAGACAAATGCAAAAAAAACATTTCACGTCGCCCAGGGCTCGGAGATCTATGGAGGTGTGAGCGGCTTCTATACCTATGGGCCACCGGGATGCGCTCTAAAGACCAACATCATCAACCTCTGGCGGAGGCATTTCATCATCGAGGAGGGCTCAAAAAAGCGGCTTACGGCAGATCTGAAGGTGTGAACTTCCGATGGCTCGTGTGAATTCCAAGTGTTTTTTGGGTTTCCGGGATGGAACGGAGAGAGGTCTCTGACCAGAACAAGGAATCTTAAACCCTGAGGTGTCTTTCATTAAACTTGGACTTCCGGTCCTAGCGCCAGAGAAGTAAATCAAATTTGAAAAGAGGTTTTCGGTTCGAGTCGTGGAGTCACAGGAGAGGCTCATGGAGATTGAGGACACGAACATCATGCCGCACCCAGTGTTGAAGGCCGGGCTCGGGTCCTGTGACCCGAAATCCGCCCAAAAGCCCACGAAGCTTGATGGCATGGGTTACCATATCTTGCCGGTTCGATAGGCAGGGAAAGAGTCGGAATGACCTCTATAAACCACCCCCAATTGGTTTCCTTTAAGGGAACCCGAGGTTCATTCCCAAAACCCTGGGCTATTCCCTGCCGAGTACCAGCAAGATATTGCCCTGTTCATTGTGTTCACTGACCCGGGAGTTTGGTGCATCCTGTCTCCCATTCTCTCGCCGCTTCTTCATTACGGAATACAGACGGAATACAGCTGCCTTTCCCTCGACAGATGGGCTCGATTGTGATTTCTCTTTTCGCACTCACAGCTTGGCCTTGGCTGCGAAGGCTTGGAAACATCTCGTGTGCCCATGGAAACCGAATTTTGACCCAGCTTGGGCTTCCTGGGCCCTGTTTGGTTGTTAGGTGTTCCCATCTGCACAAGCATCAGCATTCCAGAGGAGCATGGGTTAGATACCACCAAATATTTTGCGTGCATACGGGTTTTCATCACTCCAGTTATCTCCAGTTGGACTAGCTGAAGATTCACCTCAGCACATTGGATGAATCTTCCCTCCCTTTGTGCTCCTTGGGTTGAAGGGGAACCGAGCATGAGCCACAGATCCGTGAGGCCTCCGGCCACGTGGATCGCTTCAGCGATTTCCTGGTTCGCGATGTCTCGGATGACAAGAAGTTCTACCGAGCCGACAAACTTTTGGAGGAGCTGATAGCAATTTGTATGCCTCTCGCTTGGCCAAAGGTTTTCGGCGGAAAGGCAGAACGTCGCCCAGTTTGGTTTGGCACGGAGAACCAAATGAGCTTGTCTTTTTTTTGAGGTTACCCCTTGGCTTGTGGCGAAAAAAGGAAAACCAAAAAAGGAAAACCGAAGCCATTTTGAGGGACACCCTAGAAAAAGACATACCCAAATTGCTTGCATGCCCTGCTGCAGGACGTGATGGAGGACAAGCTCAAGGCGTGACCGGGGGTGGTCCCATTCCTCAGACGTCTGGGGCTGCTGGACTGCCGTGCCAGGAGAAGGGCCTGGCGGCCGAGAAGGTGAAGGAGTACACGTTGGTCAGGTGCGGGCCGAACCCGAACCCGAAGGGGCTCAGGGTGAGGATGGTGAGGGCAGTGTAGTGTGGGGGCAGCCATTGGTTTAAACATGTTTAAAGCACTGGTTATGGTGATTCTTCCCTTGTAAAGGTGGTGTTTAAACCATATTTTGCCCCACCCAGGAGGGCAGGGGGGGAGGAGGGGGGGGGAGGGGCCGACATGTTGGCTTCAAGTTGCCAGGAATCAGGCGGACGCCTACTCCCAGGAGGAGATCTCGGAGATTTTCAGGACGCCTGAGTGCTTTGAGGTCGATTTGCATTGATGAGCCTAAGCCTCTCAGCTGCTAGAAATACTGGAATGCATCGGCGAAGGCAAATCATTTTGCTAGTACTCCGCGCGGATTCGGATGGTCAACAGGCCTGGATGCGCGACCGCGCGTTTCGCGGCAGGTCCTGGAAAACAGCCACGATTATGTCTAGAACGGTTACCATTTTTTCGTGCGAAAGCCTGCGAGGAAATACGACATTCGCGCACCGGAGGTGGGGCTCCGCAAATCCGGCTGTCAATCAAAGCGAGGAACTGAACTGGCCGGACCTCTTGTCGGTTTTGAATGCGGCCCTGGGCATCCGTTGCCTGTCATGACATGCATGGCATCACACGCATGTCATCCGCTGCAGTAGTCAAAGGGCTCTGTCCATGGACCGACACCCGACTTTGGCGATGTTGGTGTTATTTGGTGTCGGGCGCATGTAGCATGAACGTTTGCAGTCCGGCAACAAGCTCACCGAGCCCGAGCCCTTCAATCTGATGACGCTCGCCTGCAGCGCATCCATTTGGGCACGCCCCTGGGCGGACTACAATCGAACATCTCAGAGGATCAAGGCCTTAGCCCAACCGTGATCGAGTGGTTTGGGGAAAAGAAGCCGGGTTCTTGTTGGGCCCATCTGAAAGTTGGTAGCTTCACAAAAGAGCTGAGCACACTTGTTCAATTTCCGCAGTCTCAAGCACCAATTTGGGAATCTTGACGCGACTTGCTGTAGAGATTTGCTAGGGACCGATCATCCAACACTCACCGCAGGTATTTTTCTTGGGTTTCGACCCACTTGACTGCTCAGCTCTGTTTAAGCCTCCCCTGGTCCGCAAGAGTCGAGATTTCTTGCATCGGTAGTGGACATGCTGAGGTTTCCGACGCCGATTGGACCATCGGGCCTCATCCCAGGGTGCTCGAGAGGGGGCGGTTTGGGCACCGCTTAGTTTTGTACGGATTTTCACCTGGTAGGTGAGACTGGACAGCCCATTTTTTTTGCAAACATGTCTCCCCTTGAATGTTCCTGTTGTTTCACGTTGAGCCACTCACGTATTCAGACTAGGTGATCAATCAACGAGGAGTTTGGCAAGACTGTTGCGCTTGGTGTTTTTCCCGCAGAATACTTGACTGCTTTGCAGCGAGGTACTTGCGCCCTGAGACTGCTCAAGGCATTTTTTTGAACTACAAGCGGCCGCGACACGTTTAGCTCTGGGAACCGCAGTTGAGCCGTTGAAACTCAAAACTTGGCCACTGACAGAAGCCTTGAAGTGGTTGTTGTTTTATTCAGCTACCACCCACATAGGGTGGTTTCTATGTGATCCACGAATGGTACAGAGCGGCAAGAACAGGCTGAATCATGAGGTGAGTTTCGTGAGGTTTATGAATGTACTGTGAAAGGCGAGGGTTTGAAGCCTACGCGAAATTCAACTGAGCTGCCAACGTTGCCATGCTGCTGACACTAAGTGTACTCTTGCTAGACCAGAACCAATGAACTCCCAATGTGCAAAGAAAATCCGCGAAAGGCCCGCGAAAAGGTTCATCGAACACCGCGAAAGGACAACGCATGCGCCAAAGTTTCGGCGAAGGCGTGGGCAATCCGAACAGCCAAGGCTCGAGAAAAATGGAATGGCCTCCACGCGGAGCCTGACGTTCGGGACAGGGGGTCCCTTTAAAAGGAAACTGGACCAAACCAGGACCGATTCCCCGAACCTTGAACGGTTCTGTGGGTTAATTGGTGAAGGCCCCGCAGGTTGCTCAGTTTGTTCTGAGTTTCCCATTCCCATAGGTTTCCCATGGGTTTCCCATGGGTTTCCCATGGGTTTCCCATGGGTTTCTCATGGGATGGGCGGTTCTCCGACAGCTGCCGCATGGAATCCACGTTTGACTCTTGGCCGAGTTGCTGCTCGCCAGGTTTTGCCTCGAGCAGAATCAGAACCGCCTGCCCTTCGGCGTGGCGCAGGCGGGGAACCCGTTCTTGAGCCGACGAGCCAGGTCAGTGAAACAATTGGCACAGACCAACAAGCGTTTGTTTTAGCACTAGGTGCCGGCTGCCCCAGACAAAACCACATCAATACAGTAAAGACGGCAACTGGTCCCTACGCATCGTACGGCAACTGGTCCCTACGCATCGTAAAACTAAAAGTTGCATGTCAAATTTGATCCGAGGCGGCCATGAAATTTGGCGGAAGACCAGGGCACCTTCCCAAACGTAGGTGGACATCCCCGTGTAAAATGGTCAACTCAATTTCTTATCCAAGTGCTCGCTGGGAGCAAAGGAACCATGGTTGAGCTGGCAATGGTTTTGGCTTTTTCATGTGGCCCGGGCTCCATTTTCAATACACTACCACGGCAGAACGGTGCTGAAGGTGACAATATTCAAACATGTTGAACTGCTGCACAATCAACCCCGCCGCATTTTTGCCCAATGTTTTCAACCACTTGGGAGTTGCTCCGCACCGGAGTCAGAGGGCCGAACCGACAAAGGGGCCCTCAACCGCTGAACTCGCTCCTTTGGCTTCGGCCTGGCGCTGGGAAACGAGAGCCGCGGAGTTTTCAGGTTGGGAAGTCCTTCAGGAACGAGATCGCGCCGCGGCAGGGACTGACGCGGCAGCGCGAGTTTACGCAGGCTGGGAATGAAGGAGAAGAGAGGCCTCAAAGTGGGGCCCCAAAAAGGGGGCATATTTCAAGACAAGCCCATTTGTGCAGTCTTGGCAAATACTCTTGGACATTGCTGAGCTGCCACGGCTCTGCGGCCGCTGATTAAATTTCCTTACATAAATTCGGGTAGACCATTTTAGTACCAAGTTTTGTTTGTGACTCAACTGTGCGGGACACGCAGAAGGTTGGCTCGCGGTTGGCCGCGGCGGTTTTGCAGGCAGAGATTGAGTGGTTTGTGAAGCCTACGGCCAAGCAGCTCAAGAAGTTCGAGGCCGCGAAAGTGACCCCAATTCAAAGATGGGTGTCCTTTTGATCGGTTAGTCTGGTTGAAAATAGATGGCTGTGGTTGTCAAAACCGTTTTGGGATCCCATTTTGGGGTAGGTGAATTCACCACCCATTTTGGACCGATTTCAGTGGTTGGATTGGGATGTTCGCTGGGGGTACGGGATTTTGACCAATGGCCAAGTGACCCCAATTCAATCATGGGTGTCCTTGTAGGTTAGTCTGGTTGAAAATACATGGCTCTGTCTGGCACCTGAAGGCGGTGAGCTCTGAGCAGATGATGCTTTTCTCCTCAGACCTGCAACTCGCGGGGAAGCGCCTGGCTGAGCGGAGACCAGTGTTGAGTTGGGAGGATGCAGCTTTTGCGTGAAGGACTTGTTGGGAACAAACCAGGATGAGAGACAGAAGTACTTTAAGGACTTAATAATTTTCCGTCTCACGCACCTAAAGCTTGCCTGACCCTTGTAGCTTTGCCTGTGAGAGACTTCTTTCAGAGCAATCTTCACGTATCACAAGCGGTCATCAATGTCTACACGCGGAACATGCAGAGTCATTGCAATTCCAAGGTCCGCGGAGACCATTACCATTGGAGAGGCTGTCAAAAGTCCTGTGCTCAATGTCGAACATCGCGACACGCTCGCAGAACCTTGATGCTCAAATTGAGCATGAGTCACCTCAATGCTTGGCAAAGGAGCTTGTGGCGCTCTTGCGCTCATTTAATGTGTGTTCCTCTTGGGCTTCCCCTCCTTAGATTTCTCTTGTATTCGACCCATCCATGTTGCACTTGAAAGTCAGCCCTTTGCTGGTCATCGATTCGCACGCACTGAGACCCCGGCGCTGAGGCGGCATGGTGAACAATGAGACCCTGGGCTACTTCATGGCGAGGCGCCGGATTTGGATTTGCAGCAAGGAACTGCTCGGAAGAAGATGGCCCTTTCAGCGGTGTTCCTCTGGCTCCATGGCGTGTCCACACCGGCAACCGTGCGGGGGGGGGGTGGGAGGCTTTAGGTCTAAGCCAAGCACATGGTGCCAGGACTGGTCTCTTCCTCACCAGCATCGGCGTCAAGCCGGAGCATCTCCGCTTCCGCCAGCCTTGCATGCTTGGAGATCCGATTTTTTAGTGCTGGCCTTGAGCCACACCGTAGCATAGAAGATAGGCATATTAGGGTTCTAGGTGCATTATTTTTGTTCCTTGCGGACCAAACCAAAAGAAGCGTTGGTCCCTTGGTCTAGCTGGTCGCCTTGCCATAGCCTACCGCGGGGCTGGAGTTTTTCATTTTCAGGCGCCTAATTCGACGCTGTTTGCATCAAGGGTTGGTCAACCTCACTTTCACCCATTGCTCTTTCCAGAACCCATCAAGTTTCTCACTTCCTTTGCCAAAGAAGTCTTGTCAAAGCCTAGGTGTCAAACCAGCTGAGCTGAAGTGCTTAATGTAAAACCATGCTGAATTGCTGCAACATACTGTACAGGGACGAAATCCCTAAGAAACCATGGAATGATGTGATTCCCTGTAAATGCCAACAAACGTTATGGTTCCCCGTGGCTTCAATTCGCTCTCTCCACGAAAGAAAACGATTGAAGACAAACACTTTTTCTTCTTTTCTTTCTTTTCTTTTCTCCGAACGCTGACCTTCTTAAGATGCCATGCTGTTGTCAGATCAATTCTGGGGACGAAAGTATAATTTATGTACGGCTTGGCCGGTGTTGTTTGTTGTTTTCTCTTCTCTCACATCTCTATCTATAATATATATATATATATGTATAGTAATATATCGGACTCTGTAAATTAACTTTGGCTTTCTGATCCTAAATTAAAATCCGCTGCATGTGGACGTGCATAAGTTAGAAAGATGGCTCGACATTTCTTGATCCCGTAGGCCAGCACCTCCCCACAGAGATGGCCCACTACGCCTGCGACTGTCTGGTGCTGAGAGTCCGGCTTGGATCCAGATCCCGGCTTGGTATGCTGCGCGCTGAGGCTGGGATGCTGAGATCGAGACCTGCTATGGCTGGCTGGAGCATGTCGCCCAGTGCGGTCAATGAGTCAGCACTTGTTGGATCCACCCCAAGAACCATGGGCCTTCAACCTAGGTGCGTCGGAATTGCCGACCGCTCCTGCTTTGATCTCAATGCCCACGCCAAGGCCTGCGAGTGGACCAAATTTATTTCCAGAGTTTCTGCACAAGTTGGTTATTCCTTTCGCCAGCTTCTGGGCCTTGGGATTCTGCTGCTTTCCATGCTATGTGAGAGCTTCCATATGGCCGTGGGTCAAAAATAGGTACCCAAAATGGAACCCTGGTAAATGGAGCCAAAGACTAGAACCTGCGGTCCAATTCCTGGTGGCTGAATTTTGACCCACGCCCATAGGTCAGTTGGGCAGTAGTGCCATCTGCCATCTGCCTAAGGCGGCGAAGGTGGATTTGGCCTTCAGGGAGAAGCTGGATCAGCCAATTGAAATGGAAGTGCTGAGACTGAAGAAGGCCATCTGCAGCTTCGACTTTACTTGACTGACCTCAAAGATGGCAGTGGCTGAGAAAAAAAACAAAAACAAAAACGGAATTCCAAGATGGTTTGCCCGATCGGTAAGTGGAAACATGGACTTCAAAACCAGCGGTTTGCCCCTCCTGTTCAATTTTGAGCCACAATCAGATGAGGGTTTTTTTCAGTGCAAGGGCGCGACGCTTCTGCAGCAATGCATGCTTCTTGTCAAGCTTGAAGATTGCTGGAGGACGCTGGAGTCGCCATGATGAAAGCCTTCAAAAAGAGTGGCCGTGTAGTCAAGGTGAGGGCCAGCCACTTGCCACTTGCCCAGACCTGGCCCCTTCTGATGTCAGGAGTGGGTTGAGAAGCTCCCTCAAGAAGAGCTGAAGGCTCTAATCGACGAGGCAACAAAGGATGGCAAAGCAGTGAGGCGGGTTTCACAGCTTGCCCATGTGACCGTGGACGCAGCTCGCTGTTGAGGACTGTTGAAGTGGCTGACGACCAGACTGAGGCCGTCAGCAGTTTTTTTGTGCGTCGAGAAGCAGCGTGTCAGGGTGAACAGCCAAGACATCATTTGGACTGGTCCACTGGTGCTCAGTACTGTCGTAGAGGAAATCCCATGAAGAACTGGTGCGGCTAGTCACTGTGCACTGGTTTGAGGTGTGGGTGGTCATTTTCGTGTATTTCCTTTGAGAAGCAGCCAGAGTCTGATTTTTGCCAGGAATGCACCTTCCTCCCGGAGCACTTGGTTTGTGAGACCAAGAAGGACTTCACTGCACTCTGTGTCGACCGGTTCCTGGTACTGTCAGGTCTGTTCAAAAGCGGGCTGCCTTTTTGACTTACAGGAGAATTGCACAACAGCACTAGGGTCCACAATTGGGCTCCTTTCATGCGATTGGCAGGAGAAGCAGTCCACAGTGCAGTTCACCCCAGGTGGGTATGGGTGACAATTGAGTCCCCGACCGCAGGTG